GTCGATTATAAGGGGTCTTTAATGCATCAAAACCATAGATCTGACCTCCTAAGGTCCATTTTATACGTAAAGTTCCAATCTTGACGTCCATGCATGGGGTTTTTGGCTCAAAAGCCATAAAAAGAGGTATACAAGAAGCATGGGTCTCCCATGGCCATAAAGTTGGCACCTTTATGCCATGGGAACCCTCAATAGTTCCAGATCTGAAGTGTAACTCCAAACACACTCACAAAATCCAATTATAACTTCACAAACTCATAAAAAGGGTAGAAAATAGCCCCAATACAAGACCTAAGAGATAGATGGTCAAGGTTTAAGCTTTTTACCTTAAATGAACTGAGAATGAAGCAAAACCTCTGGATTTAATAGCTTCCACTTGAACTCCCAAGTTTCCTTCTTCTCTTCCAACTTCTAATGCACACAAAAGTCACCAAAAAGCTAAAGAACACTCAAAAGAGGCTTAGGGTTTGAGTTAGGGCTTTCTCTGGGTTGGGAGGAATAATGGAGGTTGGGTTGGGGTGTTATAAGTTGTTTAAATAGGGTGAAAACCCCAAATATTAGGATTTCATCCATACAACTTTTACTAGTCGAATCGGTCTCCCGACTCGTCGAGTAGATCATTAAACTTCCCGGTCAACAATCGAGTCTACTCGACGAGTTGGGCCTCCAACTCGCCGAGTCCGAGAGCAAAACATGAACTTACTTGAATTTAAATACGTACCAGGAACCGGATGTTACAAAACCAAGGAAGCCCAATGTGCTAGACAAAAATCCCAAATTAGAAATGCTATGATCCAACATGACTCAAAGTCAATGGTCTAAACTCCAACAACTGGTCCTTACGTCATGACCAGCCCATGGTCACGTCGTAAGGACCAACTCGACCCAATCCCGACTCAGCAAGTCAACTCAGCCCATCAAGAAGGTTCCAGTCCTTGTCACGTCGCGACCTAACCCTAAGTTACGTCGTGACTTAATACAAACAAAATAGTCGGGATGGCCAACATTCTCACAACGCAGCGATCTTAATCCTCACGTCGTGAGATTTGTACTGACCAACTTCAAGCATTAAGCTCTTATTCCTTACAGCCATAACTTGGGACTTTCTAGAGGGTCTTCCTTTACCCAAGGGATGATAAAAATCGTAACTTTTCAGTCATGCATGTCGAATGCATGACTCAAGCTCTTATCAGGCCAAAAGTGGGGAAAATGAGATCTAAACTCAAAATTTGAGTCTCAAACTACACCAAAACTCATATCCAAAAACTATATTATAGAGAATGACTCAATGATCCATAAAGATGCCAACTTTATGGAACACATGCAAGCAATTAGACTTAATCATGTAAAAAGGACTTTATAACTTAGATCTAGAATGAAAAAGGTAAAAAGGTCCTAGCTTTAAGACTTACAATGGTCCAAAAGCTCCAAGTGATTGCAAGGTAGGAGCCAAAACACCAAGAGGTTGCTCAACCAAGGTCTTCTTCCACTTCAAAGAGCCAAAAACCACCAAATAATGCTTCAAAGATCTCAAAAATGCCTAAGGATTTCAAGAGGATTGAGATTAGGGCTTTCCAGAGGCTTAGAGGGTGAGAGAGGTTGAGGATGTATAAACCTAGCCTCTCATTCTCTTAAATACTCGAAAATTAAGGTTTGAGGTCATTAAACCATGCTCACGTCGTGAGACCTTATGCCTCACGTCTTGAGTCTCCAAAATATGTGTCAACAAGTCAATGGTCCCTCACGCCGTGATTCCCAAGATCTAACGTCATGAGGATCGTCATAATGCAAATTAAATAAATAAATGAATTTTAGTACCTTAGGGTTTCAGATGTTACACCACTATTTGAAGCTGTGATATCTAAGGGTGTGGAAACATTTTAGGGGATAAACCATAACCTGTAATTGTAGAAGCGTAGGTGTAGGAATGATTTATGGATTGAACATAGACTTCTGTGTTGTAGAATTGAAACAATGTTGATGATGGAAGGAGAGTCGATGGAAACCATGAACAAACGACAACGGTATCTTTGGTGTGGAAATAACTTCCACATAAACAATGTGGAGTCAATTCATTTTATAGGGTGTGGTTTCTATCCCTTTATATATATATATATATATATATATATATATATATATATATATATATATATATATATATATATATATACCAACCATGTAAGAAATTGAAACCATTGACCATCTTCGTTACAAAAAAAAATTAGAGACTAAATGTGTTACTTTTTATAAAACACAAGGACCATATATGTAGTTTTGTATTAATTTTATTACAAAAGAAGTATAAATTCAACTCTGAGTAATACACACACGCAATCTCTTTTGTCTTTTGATCGTGTTTCATGCCTGCTTGAAGTCATGCATCAGTCCATGGCCAAAGTCCGCGGCAACGGAAAAACCCTAGATTCTTACACCGTCAAAGCCATTAACGAATCCATAAGACGTTAGTTTCATCTCAATCAATCCTCATCGCTCTTTTCTTCTTTCTAAAAAGTTCATTCTTTTCTAACCAATTTCTGTTTTTCCCTTCGAATCAGCCGGCGATTGCGTGTTCATGCGATCTCCCAATCCTTCGAAGCCATCGTACATAGCAAAAGTGGACAAGATCGTATCCGACAACAACGGAAGCAACGTGAAAGTTCACATCCGGTGGTACTACCGACCGGAGGAATCAAAAGGCGGCACACAACCATTTCACGGAAGCAAAGAAGTTTTCATTTCCGATCACCGTGATGTTCAAAGCCCCGATACAATTGAAGGCAAGTGTAAGGTTCACACTTTCAAGAGCTATACATCACTCGATGGCATTGGCAACGACGATTTCTTCTGTCGTTTTGAGTATCACTCTTCCACCGGAGACTTCAGTCCAAACAGCGTAGCAGTGTATGTTTCTGCTATATCCTTTTTCATAATTTCCATACTTTGTTGATGAAATTGTTTGCATTTGGATAGAATTTGTTGGAAAAAAAAAAGTTATCTTAGGGATTTTGGATTGAACTTCAAACTTTATACACTGCTAGTTACCTAATGCTAACAGGATCAAAATAACAAACATCAGGGCTTCTGAATCTGTGTGCTTTTCCTAACTTAAGATTGGTATGACTAAATTCGAAGAGTTGTGGATTGATAGATACATTTAGTTCATAGTTCATAGATATGCTGTTGATTAATCTGTTTAATTTGTGTTAATACGACAGGTACTGCACATGTGAAATGCCTTACAATCCTGATCACTTCATGATCCAGTGTGGTGGCTGCACTGATTGGTAAGTCACATTCAAGTTAACATTTTGGGGATAAAAATAACAAGATTAAAACACCAAATGTTTGAATTCTCTTGAATCTTGATATGCTTTCCATGAATCTACTTTTGGATTATGATAATTTTTAGTTTTTAAACTTTGATACCCTTTTGGTTTCAGGTTTCATCCTGCTTGTTTACACATGACAGTGGATGAGGCTAAAAGAATTGAACACTTATTTTGTCAAAGTTGTTCATCTAAAGAACAAAGGATTCTCCAAAACCCTCGTGCTAATTCCAGGAATTCAACCATGAAGGTAAATTTTTGTCCCACAATTACATATCATGATAAAAAAAATTAAAAATTAAAAACAGTATATGAAGTTTAAAATTTTCATGTTTATGATTATGGGGTTTTCAGGTGGAGACAAAACGTCGTCGAAGGTAATATGCACAGGTTTACTGTATTAAAAGTTAAAACTCTTGTTGAAGATAGCAGCAACAGTAGGTTGATGTGACTTATGAGATGGAAACTAGGGTTTGATTATCATAATCTTTGTGAATATGATTTGATTTTGTTTGAATTTTATGAGTTTGGTACTTTGGTGGCCTATGATGATTATGTTTTTGAAGTAAGTTAAGTTTCTTGTTTAATGTAACAGTGTATGTTATAAGTTTTTGAGTAAATTACAGGAATGGTCCCTTTGGTATGCCAAGAATTTTGGATTTTAGAGTCCAAATTTTCATTTGTTGCAAAGATGGTCCTTAAAACGTAGCTTTGTTGCGTGTTTGATCCCTCAACTGATTAATATAATGGTACATCCGTTAAGTCCATGTTAAATGATCAATTCTATAGTTTACATTTAAGACATGTCTTCTATTATCTTTAAGGTTGTGTTTTAGACTCAGTTGGACAAACTTTTTAGGGCTATTTTAGAACAATGAAGTTATTTATGTCTTTTGCACAAACGAGAAAAGAAAGTGAGTCCATGTCCCACGGTGTTTGAACTCTTTTGGATGAGACAAAAGTTGCATTTGTTGTCTCGTTGACACCAGATATGAGTCATAGTTGAGTGCATCACAAAAACAATATAATTTGTTCTATTATGTCTTGTTAGGTTAGAAACATATGTTGTTATCAAAACTTTTATTTAACTTAAGTTTCAATTTTATTATTAACGGTTTTAATGATTATAAATAAATCTATTTAAGTCGGATCATTTGAAAGAAACTATTATTTCAAAAATATTATATATATGCAAGCAAAAGAATGTTAACACTTGGTGGATTCATCTTGCCTCATTCAAATATGGATCCACTTTGAAGGAGAGAGATGTGGTGGAGTGGAGGTACTCCTCTTGACCTAATATCTATGTTTTTTTAAAAGTTGTGAACGGATAGATGTTGTTGATCAGATATATTTTTATTGTGTTACATATTTGTTGGACCTTTGACATATAGATCTTTTGAAATCTAAAGTTTAAGTTAAAATAATTTATGAACATGTTTCATAATTAATCTTTGAGATAAATTATAGTTCTTAAAAAAACAAACTAGTTGATTACCGTAGGATCTTTCAACCCAGTTCCATCTTTACTATGATCATAATTTTTCATTCTTTGCAAATTGCAAAATTCTAAAATGCCCCCCACTATATAAGCTTTATTCTGAAAGCATTTCACAATTTCATAAAGTATTTTGTAATTTCTCTCTTAACTGCTTTGGATGAAAATATATAACTTCAAATTTTGCGAACTCGTGTGCAAAATACATGAGTATGATGAATTGATGATGTGCATCCTAAAATGAAATGCAACAAAAATGTTAATAGGTTAATGTCATAAAATGACCACCAATAATATACAACTTACTTATTAGTCCATTTATCTTTTAATTGTATCAACTGCCACAACTTTTTATGTGTTTACATTACAGCATTAGGGTGTATTTCAGTCAGGTAATTCTGTCATATCAGATGCTACAATGGACGCAACAGATAGAAGTAAATGAAGAAATTATGTCATATTAAATACCTTAATAGTATATAATTAAAGGATAAATTACCCCTTTATGTGATTTTAATGGGAAATGGGTATGGGAGAAAAGTTAACGTATGGGTTGGTTTCCATGGGGAATAACTAATGAGGACAGAAGTGGGTCACGAGACAATGGTGAAATGCCTACTTGAAGTCGATGATTATAAAAAAAAAAATACATGTTTTAAACTGTTGTATTGAGAATATGTATTTCAACTACCTTAATGATTTTATCTAAAAATGACCTAATTTACATTGATCTAGATATCAGAAAAAGAGTTTTGAAAAGAAAAAAAAAAAAAAAAAAAAGATTTTATTTTAGGTGACCTCTTTTTGCTTTGATTTTTCTCTCTTCCAAACAATTACAGTGCCACCAAAATCAGAGGAAGCCAAAAGATTCTCACCATGATTCCATGCAACTGCAATCACCGGGTATCCATGTCCCTGTAGTTTGTTCACACATGTATTCTTCGGCCGAGTTAAGTCATAGAAATACACAGCTGCATCCTCACTTCCAATCACTTATTAACACACAAAAACCCTTGTATCAGTAAATTACATTTTCCCCCCCTAACTATATCTGGTTTTCGCAATTTTGGTCCTTTTCTAAGCTTCTGTAACCTTCTTGGTCCTTGTTACAAGTAAAATGACTATTTTTGGCCATGAATATATCCGATTTTTTTTTGCAATTTTGGTCCCAAACTATAATCATTTTACTTGACATAGGGACTAAAAATATCACAAAAACCAAAATTGAAAAACTCAACTATACTCAGGGACCAAAAATGTAAATTACTCTCGGAACATATTATCAATTCTCTCCAGCGGTAATTAATTATGGAAAATAACATACTTTTGTTACTTTTTCTAATATGATCATAATACTAGAGTAAATTACAAAATTGGTCCCTGTGCTGCACTCGAAATTGCAAGCTCAGTCCCAAATTTTAAGTTGTCCTTAAGTTTGCATTTCATTACGAATACGGTCCCTATGCTTTACTCAAACTTGCAAATTCAGTCCAAATTTTGAAGTCATTTTGTATATACCTATATATTCCCCTTTTTCAAGGGAAAGCAATGGACAAAAAGAAGCACGAATGCTATGAAGACGTGGGGCCAACTTGAGGGAGCATTGTAGAGTCAAATAGCCTTGTAACTCCAATGAAACACTGCAACAAATAAAAATTAAACAACAACTTACTTTCATCAAATTTAAACATATGAAATTAATTTTAAATCAGATAATTAAGAACCTGAAGAAAGACAAATTTCCATCTCGTGTAAGAGCCAATAACACAGGACCTTGTGTCATTAAAGAAAATGTTCTGTATTGTATAGTAGTGAATTCTGACTTTTCCTTGCTGCTAGTTTTAGTGCGATGTGAGCGTGATAAAGTACCTTGATGAGAGTTTACTTTAACTGTGTATATACATCCCTAAATAAATAAAACAACAGTTTTTATATAAATGAAAGAGTTTTGAAAATGAAGTTTATAAAAAAAAATAGAAAATAAAAAGCTCACCTGTGCATCCCCACAAAAAATAAACTGACCCGTATGGTCATAATCAACAGTCGTAACCTCACTGTCCACAACTGTTTTACTTATTAATCTTCCCGTGCTAAAATTGAATATCTGAAATAGTAAAAATAAAATTAATTAATTAATTAAAAGAAATAAAAGAAGCAGTGAAGGATATGAATTAATTACCGAGACTTCTTTTTGTGCATTGCCAACTGAAAGGAAGTTATTATTCACCTGCATTTATTAAGAAAAAAAAAATTACTATTTGCCCCTTCTTTTTTATTTCCTAACTCCTCTAACGTGAATACTGTGAAATTTGTTTTTTTGAAATGTAAGGGTAAAATGGTCATTTAGTCTCGTTCAGATGGTTTATTCATACATCACTTTATCCATACATACATGATTATTCATTTAGGGAAAAAAAGAAACAGCTCCTAAGTTTATTATGTTGGTTAAAAATAAAGGAATAAGAACATAAATATAAGAGAAAGTTACTTACAGGATGAAAACGAATACAAAGCTGAGAAGTAACTCCATATATTACTCGAATGCAAAGGCCATTTGGTATATCCCAAACCCTGACAGTTTTATCCAATGAAGATGATGCAATGTACTGGTTGTTCAATGAAAAGTCAAAATCTGGAAAAATGAGATTAAAGATGAAAAAAAAGACATCAACACATGATTAATAGCCCCTTTCAATCAAGAGATATTAAAGGAAAGACTAAAGAACCAGTACCAGTTGATCAAACCTGTGACATCTTTTGAGTGCCCAGTCAATTTGTTCATGATTGAAGGTGGATCAGAGACACTGCAAACTGTTAATGTTCCATCTGTTGCTCCATAAGCAAGAACATCAGAACTCATATGCCCAAACTTTATAACAGTAACTGCATATATGTAGAATTGAAACAATCACTCCATGAAGAAAAAGTAATCACTTGAAATGAGAAGAACAGGTTCATAACGGAAGTTACCCATTGATTTGCATTCATCAAAGATGCAATGCATTCCCACAAACGAATATGCATGTTCAGTTTTTCGACGAGGGTGTTCAAATTCAGTTGAACTTACACCAAAACTACTAACAGTATTATGACTCGGTGTTTGACTATCACGTAGATCCTGCATAAATATAAACCAGATTATAAAAAAGTGCATCAAGATTCAAGACTTATTATCCAAATCCAATATGTCTGTTTTATCAATGTAGTTATGTTGAAAAAAGGAGTAAAACTAACCTTCATACCAGTCCAGCTACCAGTGGACCAGTTTTCCACCTCAAGAGCCATAGATAGTTGACTTGGAGTTGGAGATGGTACCCATCGACCACTGGTGAACCAATGAGTAAATTAGCCTGATGTCATGTCACTACTATATGAAACAAAAATTCCAAATAATACTATGCCAATCATTGCAAATTCTTTGATGATATGCTTGCAACTTTACAAACCATAGTCTAACTAGTGAACAAACTAACAATGGCAGAGGATATTTGTGTTTCTGCATCTGATAAATTCAAAGGAGCAACCAAAGAAGGAATCAGTAAGTATGTAAGTAAGTAAGTTGAGGTACCTGGTTCCAGGGGTGCTAGTTCGACTTGGTATTTGCGAATTTAACCAATTATCTGGCCTGTTGATGAAATTGCGATAAGCTACATAGCCTTTAGCATTGCATCTCCAGTCCTACACACAACAGATACGCACAGCTATATTCATTGATCATTGAAGGAAGCAGTTACAGTAAAGTCGCTGTTTTCACCAAATTATTCGTCAAATTCCGAGTTCTATTGGTAAGACAAACTAAGGAATAAGGATACCTATCGACATCCTCCGGCGAGGTTTGACATTTGTTGTAACAAAATGTCTTCATTTGAAATAGGTGACTAATAAAGTGTACCTTTCGGCGAAGAACGCCTGACTGAGCTTTCCGAAAGAGAAGAAGGCGGCGAATTCCGACGTATTTAGGATCGGAGTCGGCAGGACAGGGCTGAAGCATACAGCTGAAGGTTTCTGGATCCTCGGTAATGTCATTCTTTTTACTCGGCTCTCTCTCATGATCATCAACTTCAGACGAACGTTTCTCGATCGTCTGATCCGCCATTTCTACGAGATTCCCGAAGAATCCTTCATCACACTTAAAAATTCAACTCTTGTATAGAAAATCGATACACGAATCGAGGATTTTGAGATCGATTATCGGAAACCTGCTCTTTCTAATTCGTTACAACGCAAAGTAAATTTAAATTTGGAGTTTTTTCCAGAATTCATACAAATCGAGATTTCACGAGTCGTGAGTTTGAAAATGGTGTTGACAAATGACAACGAACCATTTTTCGTTTCTGGACCTTCGATGACGGTATAATTACACTTTTTTCCTCTTAGCTTGAACATATTGACAATTTGCTCCTTGTATTATTTCTTAATCGGTTTAAGATTTCAATCGGTTCCAATTCAATAAAAATATATCTTTTTTTCAAAATAAATACTTACATTTTATTAGACCGAAATTTCAAACCTTTGTGATAAAGTATGATATATATTATATATGCTATTATTCTATATGGGTTAGACTTAGTCTCAATAATTTTAAAGTCTTTTGAAAAAAAATCTTCAACAACACATTAATATCGGTTGGTGTCCGGCACAAGACTCAACGCATCTAGTATGATCTCATTATGCATCTAGTCTGATCTCATTGAGTATCCTTCTCATGGGATTTTTTTAGTGTCCCACATCAGACATCTGCTTCTATATATGTTGGAGTGGAAATCTAAGACTTTGTGTATGATTACCAATTTACGAACCGAAAAAAAAAAACATGAATTTCTTTAATTAGAAAATGTGAATTTTCACCGACTTTGGACATGTGGAAAGCTGGATATTTGTTATTGGGTTGTCCTTTGAAAAAGCTTTGTATTGCAAAGATATATTATATATTCAAAATCAAAGTTTGTTATTGGGTTGTCCTTTGAAAAATCGATATATTATATATTCAAAATCAAAGTTAAAATGAATAAGATATCAACTCTAATCAAATATTTGAATTAAAAAAAAAATTAAAACTGAATCAAGTATAGTGGGCAAACTTTTAGTGGGTATGTATAGTAAAGAGTACCTAACATAATAATGGAAGTCCTAGTAGGAGTACCACATATGTGTGCAGTTCACATGATACATATATGCGCACTTTGCACCTAACATTTCATTTAGACTAGAGGGAGTAGGGGTGTGTATGATATGTTGCCACATCATTTTTTACATGTCACGTAAGCATAACATGATGTTAGAAAGTTGTAGTGTGTCAATATGCCTTAGGAAGAAAAAAATAAAAATTAAAAATTTGAAATAGCCAATCACAAACAACCTACACTCTCTTTCTCCTCTCTCATCTCGCTAAAGTGTCAGCAAGTTCACATAGCAAGCTTACCTTGGGGCACCCCCTTAACGCACCCTAGGGGGGCGGCGTTCAGCCATGCTAAGAGCTTTGGCGAGGGCCTTAGCATAACTACTCACCAACAGATTGAGTTGTCAGGTTGGGGTGCTTTGTTTGAAGCTAACTACCGGCCAAGGGACCTAGGTGGCATGAGCTCTGCCATTGTGGGGGTTGCCCCCTAAGTTGTTTGTCGTGTGTTAGAGTCATCAAAGTATTTTTTATAAAATAATAATCAGTAGAACATTTTAAAGAAATGACCCAATTGACCGGTATACCCCTCCATTATTTTTGTCATCGTGCTATGAACCAGCAAGAAAACTATAACGGGTTAAAAATGCGGATATAATCAAATATGGATACTGTGAATTTTATTAGTCAAACTAGCAATGAGCTAGCAAAAGAATAGACAATTACAAAGGATCAACCATAATGGGATTTTGTAACCACACAACTTAGTTGGCTTTGATCTTACTACTTGTATGCATAAAACTAGCCATCTATGATCTTTTTGAAAATCTGATCCTTCTAATGTATTTGTGACAAAACACCATTGTATTTCTATAAGACCACAAAACCCATATAGTTGTCATGAAAATAACCTCCAAAGCTACATGTTTCATCTTTGACATCGGTCGAGCATTCCCTGTTTTAGTAGATTACTTCTAGTATATTAAGATATCAATTAGTTATTTGTCTTAACACTCTAACATACTTTTTTTTTCCCACGAAGTATATTATATTCCAGCAGTATCTAATTGCATGTACAATTGATTTAGTTTGTGATATTACTTACTGCTAACCACAAATATTATCCAAAACTAAGCATTTGCAATGAAATATTTCCATATCCATTTTACCCATACAATATAAAACTTTATATATTCCTATATTAGAGTCCCAGATAGACACATTCGTATCTCCTCTAAATATGTAGGACAATGGCTCTTCTGGAAAGAAAACCAGATACTACACGAATTGATTTACAAGGTACTACTGACTTTAAAAAAAAAATAAAAGAAAATGATCATGAATCATGATGATGCATGTAAGTCATGATTATACCAATATCTATTATAAAACCACATTGAATCAGCTGTAACAGCATATCCATCTTGATTCCTATGCCAACTATGATACGCATGTGTTCTATTCTTGATGTCCAAAATAGCATGCCCATAACTAGCTTCTCTAAAAGCAGAGTACATCGGCTGTGGCTCAGTCATGCTACATCATCATCATCATTCAACAAACCATAAGTGTTACTTATCATCAAATTTTTATAATAAAAATTAAAAATACAATCTCATTAAATATTATATTTTAATTACTTGATAGCCAAGCCCTCAAGATTTCCTCCATCACCAATGGTTATGTATATAGGAGCAGAATCATCTTTTATAGGATCACATTTCGAGTTAACAACATCATAAGCAATGTTCGATATTCTCTCCTGTACCAAGGGCAAAATCGTCATTTTTACCCTCAAACTTTTCTTTAACCAAAAGTCAAGCAACCTCTATATGGGTGTTTCTTTTTTACTCAATGCATAAAGTTTTAACTTTTTACAAATTTGCCCTCATTTACTAGAAAGAAAGACTTACTGTTCGTTCATAGGCATGGACATGACCAGAAAACACAACATCAACTTTGTATTTTACAAACCAAGGCTCGAATACGACTCTCATAGATTCACCTTCCATGTAGTGATAGATATAGCTATTGTACAAGGGCGTATGCGTCATTACAATCAACCATGGGGTTTCACTTCTGTCAACTTTGGGCAATTCTTTTTCCAGCCATTCATGTTGAGGAGTGTATTTACCTAACAAAATTTTGTAAAAAGTTTACACCTTTTTGTTTCTATGATTTGGGGTTGTGAAAGATTCTGATATTTAGTAGAAAAAAAAAAAAAATTGAAATTTGAATACCATAAGCTGAATATGAAGATAAGACAATGATGTATGCTGAAGCTATCTTGATTGAGTACCAAAAAGGGGAAGTACTTTCTGATGCTTCAAAGGGGACTTGATACCTGTGAGTATAAGGCTTAAAAGGTTCAGTCTCTCCCTGCAAAAAAATTACCAAAACTTGAATCTTTTTGACTTTTCTTGAATCTTTTGAGACGTATTTGAGGATTGAATAAAGTCAAAGAAGAGTTACAAGTTCAGGTGCAAAGTCAAGTTCATGATTTCCTGCAGTCCATATCCATGGTTGATATGCTGTACTTCTTTCAGCAAATCTTCCCCATGAATCCCATCTTGTGTTATCATGATAAGGATAGTTATCAGCATAAGAAATGTCTCCAACGAATAAGACGGTTTTTCCTTTTGTAGGATTCATTTCATAGTGAGTAAGTGTGATGTTTGAATCAAAACTTTGGCCAAGATCTCCTGTATAAATTAACAAAAACATAACCTTAATGACACAGATATTCAGTACAAATTATCCAAAGTAGAGAAAGTTTTGAAGGAAAGAATAATACCAATAAGGCCAAAAGTAAAAGGGACATCTGGTCCAATTGGAGGAGGAGTTGTGAACCAGAAAGTTCTTGATGCATGTTCGATCCCAATTTCATAGTAGTATTTTGTATCATGCTGCAAAACAGAACTAATCAATATGATTCCAAACAAACTTTTCTTTTAATTAGTGTAAAGATCCTAAATGTTACGAATTAGAAATCAAAATTAGTACCTCCAAATCAGTAAGATTGCAATGATGGATGAATCCAGAAGTATAATCGTAGTATGTGTAGGTGGTAACAATGCCCTCGGCTATGTTCTGACTACTACTGCTGTCTTCACTCCAATAAACAACTGTATCTGAACCTGGTTCCTCCATTGTCACCCAAGATACAATCATTGCCTTCCCCACATGATCACCTTGGGTTATATGAACCTTGATTTAGAAAACGGACATTCAATTTCATTAACATCATCGACAATACCAAGTGTAAATCAAGTAGATGCAGATGAGCTGCAATTAATCTCAGAAATTGAACGAAATGCAAATGAGGTTCTTAAATTGAACAAAACCCTATCAAAACTAACCTAAAATGAAAGCGATATGAAAATGGGGATTTTAGATGGAAATCGATACCTGTTGAGGCGCATTATAACCGGGAGGCTCAGTAAACACATCACTGTCAAGAGGCATATCGATAGTTTTGTCATATTTTCTTACAAAACTACTGGTTGTCCCTCCATCAACAAACAAAGCGGATTCGAACACCAATAGCCCAAGAACAGAGACAATAACATGGCACCATCGGACACTCATCTTATTCACGCTCCTTTCGATTCCTCCCAGCTTAACATGCGCAAAACCAGAACTCTAATATCCTTTACTTTTTTTACATCCTTTCAAATGAAAAAATTAGTCGATTTCTGGCTTTTCACTGCCTAATCCTTGCGGATTAATGTGTGCGATTGATAATTGCAAATGAGTGGGAATAAGGTATTGAGGAATTCTTCAAGGATCTGCTAAATTTTGTCTAATCTCTGGTTTCTGAATGAAGATGGAGTGATCATGAGACTGGAGGTGTATGGTTAACTCGCAAATCGGATCCAACAACCCGGTCATGGGTTCTTCCTATTTATTTGGGAGGGAAAAGAGACATTATTTCAACAATTTTATAAACTATTCTTTTATAAATGTCTATATAAAATTTAAATTTAATTTAGAGCATTTTAAAAAATAAATTTATACAAAGATTTAGGCCCTGTTTGATAATTTCATTGTATATTTGTCTGAATGAGTAAGAAATTATATTGTTTCATTGTATATCTGTCTAAATGCACTTACTTAGGGGTAGAATTGGTACGGTACCGAGTTTTTTTTCTCCAAACCGTGTACCGTACCAACTATAGTTGGTATAAGATTTTTGCAACCAGTACAGTACCAAGTGTACTTGGTATCAATTAATTTGGCTACTAATAATTTTGGTTGGTATATATTGGTATTTGGTATATACCAAAGTTTTTAACTAATATGTACTATACATGAATATAAGTTGAATTTGTGAACATTTGGCTGTTGCTTCACTTGCTTCTGGTAGTATTTTCTTTTTGGAAACCACTAAAATGATTAAATGAGATCCACCCCTAGCAAATTGCTAGAGGAAACAAATGGTAACAGTACAAGTAAAAGGAATGAGAAGTTAATATTCCTTTTTAAGTTTTAGTGTATGTATCACCGATCTCGTGCACATCAAACAATAAGTATCAAGAAATTTGTCGGTCAATGTGTTAATTTAGTAATTCTAAGACTTGTTAGTTGTTATTCTAATTAGAACATGAAGATATGAGAACTCATATTTCTTTGTATTTATGAGTTGATATATATATATATATATATATATATATATATATATATATATATATATATATATATATATATATTGGTTGGTATGGTACAACCGTGGTATTCAAAATTTCATACCGTTACCGTACCAAGACTACTTAATTGGCATGCTATTACCAGTCAAACATATTGGCTACCAAACAACTTGGCTACCAATTTAATTGGTTCAGCTGGTAACATGTTGGTTGGTTCTTTATGGTATATATTTGACAACCCTACACTTACTAACAAAAAAATGACCATTTTACCCTCCCATAACTAATCACATACTACATATGAATATTTGACCCAAAAACAAAAGAGATTCTTCGTTTTCCATAATATACAAAACAAATTGTTCAAAAATATCATTTCCAACAAACACCAGCTTCTTTCCAACATTCCACACATTAATGGGAATTATGCAAAATGGGGTAACAAATTCAAGAGATGATCTAATATCCTAACTAGAAATTTTGCACGAGAATTCAAACAAACAAAAAAAAAATAGTTGTTGATTACATCACATACTTGATGATATCTTTGAAATAAAAGAATATTTGAACTAGAGCAGCCATGATCAATCATCACATCACCATCTCTCACCCCTCATCTTCTTCACCTACCTTGACAACCACCGCTACAACCACCCTTCTCCATTCCCACCACCTCTACAACCACCCTTGAATATACCAAATGTGATTACAAACAATTCAACGGTTACCATAGTTCTATATAATCAATGACAAGATAACTTGAAACCTATTATACCTGATGAATATTTAATCATAGCATCAATAAGTTTTGGTATTAATTATCAGATTTATACCAACTTTTGGGGTAGAATGATCTTTATTTATTTGACATATTGCTTAAATTCCGACTCTTATTGTCTACCATTATTACAAAGGAACAAACGGAACAAAACCTCCCATGGGACATCAATTAAAAAATTACCTAGTCCTGAAATTTGATCATTCCAGTCCATCTTTTTTTTTAGATCACAATCTGATATGTTTTTTCCATTCTCTTGATTAATCTAGCCAATGAAAACTCTCTCATTAACAAATTATATCCCAAGGTAAAGTAAAATGATTGAAGTGAAAATTGAGAACATCACAAACCTGAAACCCAAATGTTTGGTCCTGCATACCCAAATATTTTTTCTACATTTACAGCAAAATAACTTTTAGAAAATGGGACAAAAATCAACAGCAAAATGGGAACATTCAACAACAGTAGAACATTCAACAACAAAATGGGAAAAATAACAGAAAAATTTAGAGAAATCGACATATCAATAGAATTCAAGAGCAAACATTAACAGATCATCAAAATTCGAAACTTTAGGGAGTGTTTGATAACTGCAAAATCAGAGAAATCGAACCCATACTTATTCAACAGAAAATCAGACCTGATGATGTTCAACAGCAAAGTCGAACCCATGCCTAATTATGCGGAAATCGTACCTGGTGAGAAAAATGAGAAGAGGCAGTCGATGGAGGTGCTGGTATGGAGGAGACCGTCGGTTGGTTATCACAGAAATCGTTGATGGTTGGTTGATGCGTGGCTATGGAGACGCTGCAAGAAGATGGAGACGCTGAAAGAGAATTACAGGCAAGGGTAAAGATGGAAACGTAGCTTTCTTTCTCAGTCAGCTATCTTCCCGCATCTATCTCAATCAGATTTTTCACATCGACTCAGATGCCCAAACTTAGATTATTAAACACTTTTTGCTGACCGAGTCAGCCAAAAACATCTGACTCGACTCAGTCAGACGAGTATCAAACATGACCTTAGACTTTCATATGGTAATCCAATTAATACATGTAGAACTACACCAAGACATGTTTGGTTCATGGATTTCGAAAGATTTAAAAAAAATAAAATATAAATTTCAATAAATACTATGTTTGGGCGATAAAATTAAATGAATTAATTTTATTTTTTCAAATTCTATTAAATTTTGTGGTTGAATGTAGGGATGAGAATTTGGCCGGAAAACCCGAACCAAACTGCAACCCAAACCGAATTAGGCCCGAATAGGCAACTCGATTCGGTTTTCGGGTATCTATATGAGGCTTATTCGGTTTTCGAATTATTTGGTTCAGGTTACCCGAATAAGGACTTATTCGGGCCAACTGAACCGAACCGAATTTGAAAAGTCACATTTTTTCCCGTTGATCGATAACTTATTCGGTCTTGTACTCTTGTGTTCTATCGATCGTAACCCAATACCCACATAACTTGGAAACAAAAAAAAATCAACGCAATCGATCCCAGTAGCGTAATACACCAAATCGACAACATGAATATTTGATCGATCGAGAGTTTTTCTCATCCCTACTTACGAGTTGCGACTGTTACCTTGATCGATCTACTGCCTTGAATGTTAATCTGTGTTTATATTCTTAGTATACAAATTCTAACTCTTTTTGCACCTTTGAAACAATTATATATACTTTGTATTATTTTTAATTAAGAAATTTGTTTCTTTAAAAAATTTGTTATGAAATCATAAACTACAAAGTCATACAAAATACAATAGTTATAATCACATTGTAAATGTTATTTGGGTTATTTGAGTTATTCGGGTTATACAATCATAATAGGTCATTAATCATCTTATACATGTTATTTGGGTTATTCGGGTCAGAACCGAACCGAACCAAATAAAAGGACAAAAATATAATCTCATCTATCCAATCGTAGCCACCCTCGTCCAAATCTTATCCATATCCGCCCACATACACACACACACACACACATATATATATATATATGTGTGTGTGTGTGTGTGTGTGTGTGTATTGTGCCGGTCCAAATGTATACGGGGATCGGGGCGAAAAAAAATCCCCTTAAAGATAAATATAATAAAGATTCAAAAAATATAATTTATTATTGACTATAAACACATTCAATTAACAATAAAAAACAAGCCAAATTGTTTATCTTTTGACTTAGTTTAAGTTTGAACCAACTTTAAATCCTAAAAATCATTTTGGTAATATTTTTGTTTTTATATATTTACACTATATAGCCCATAAATTTTAGGCCCTCAAGAGTCGTGGGGCCTTGGGCGGTTGCCCGGGTTACCCACCGTCTGGACCGACCCTGGTTTGGTATAATTTGCGGGTTTGATCTCTAACTTTTTTTTTTTTTTTAACTCTGACCATCCCTATCATTTGGTTTTGTTATGCGCTTAGTCTCTGCCATACCTAAAAAGATAATATTACCCTTATTATTTATTTATATTATTTATATCTTATTTATTTAATAATTAAAATAGATCTCATCCATTCTTTCCCTTTTACATACCCATTCCCCCTTCCTTTTTTTTTTTTTTTTTTTTTGTCTTTCACAAGCAGTAAACGAACAGAGAGAATTGGCCGTCTCTTTTTACCTTCCTTCATCGAACCCTTCTTCTAGATGAAATCGATGATCCACGATCAAAAACATACCAAAGGAAGCATATGATGTCGGAATCACCGCTGGTGGAAGGTATTCACACCCCTTTTAAAGAATGCTTAGTTCTCCTTCCTAGGTGTGCCGTCGAGGTGGTCGATTTGTCTTCGTGGTGACGATGATGTTTCAAAGCAGGTGGTATATTGTTTAGCGGAGGAAGCATAGGATATCGGAATCACTAGTAGTGGGGTTGGATGCATTAGAATATGTTTATGTGTTTTATTCACAGCTGTTCATAATTGTTATTTAGCAATATAGGTCTATGTTTTTTTTTTTTGTAATTTCTTGATAAATTGTTTGATATAGGTTTGATGTAGGATAACAACGACCACGATGATTGTTTGGGTTAAAAATTGTGAAAGAAATATTGATATGGAAATAATGGTGTATATATGTGAACTATTGATTTCGATGGAAAATGTGTTGGATCTAAAATATGATTTATACTTTGGTTTTTTAAGCATTTGTAGTTTTCGGTCTAGGACCAAAAACATTATTGGGTTTAGTTGTAGCTTGGACCGAAATCTCATGGAATATGTGTTGGGTCTAAAAGGCACCAATGACGCCCGTGGTTTGTTATGATTAGGACGCTAGATGTCCGTGTGATCCTTGCATGTGTATGTTAACAAAAACTAAATTGAGAAATATTCCACTCAAACCATCTACCATATTGCTTAGAACCTCCATTCCTTTAAACCCCTTTTGGTTTCTTGCCATCCAAATGTACCACAACATATAATATAATAAAAGATTAAAATGACAATCATCCTTTTTGTAAC